AGTTTCAGTAACAAAAAATATTAAATTTGATGTTTAAAATGATTATAATAAAATAATCTTTTATTAAGGGGAATACAAAACAAACTATTCCAAGACAACTATTTATAAGTATACTCTGTTAAGCGGATTACAGTCAAACAGTTTTTAAGGAGTCAAAATAGGCAATTTTTTAACATTATTTTATATAAGCATTATATAGACATAATAACGAATTCAAATCAGTTTTTAAAAATATAGTCGCATTACTAGGTCAATAAGTTTGATAAACAAAAGATTGGTATTTTGTGGCTAAAATAACTGATGACACCAACCCCTTAAAGCAATTTTTTCATTTTTAACCTTAACGTTTTGAACACCATAAACATCGGATTTCTTCGAATACTGGTTTTTTGTTAATATTAAGATTTTTCCTAAATTCTATCTTTTATTTTTCTTGATTATTTYAAGCGATATAATAGTACTGTGAAATTTGAACGCCCAAAGTTTCAACATGTTCTTAATTTATTTCTTCTAGAAATTGGTAATAAATCATTTTTACTACTCCAAAAGTTTAAGTTAAACCAACATTATGCATAAATAATAAAAATTGTAAAATCAATCGCTCCGCTTAGAATTTAAATCTACATTTATGTTTATAATACCTACAGATTTATTATATTCATTACATAATTTTAAACAATTAGAAATAAAATTTTCTTTTTTCAGGACGTAAAAAGGCTTATAAATGTATTACCAAATATTAAGGAAGTACGTTATATTGATGAAGTGCAAGTTGGTCATCTTAGCTTTGTAATAAGTCCAAATACAAGAGACATCGTGAACTCGTTTATAGCAGCTACATTTTTAGGTTAAAGTTTATGATGGTATTATAGAATGTGTTTTTTTATGTTATTGTGATTAATTTTAATTGATAATGATCAATAATATCAGAAACCTATAAAATTGTGATGTATATTGTGAATATAGCGAGCGTAGTATTTTGGATTATATGAATTTATTCATACAACAAGATTGAATTKTTTTTCCCATTTTAATCACAAAAATCACAAATGATTTTGTTCCAGACTAAATGTATACAACATAATAATTTACTTGTGGGTAATATGTCATGTTTATTAAATATACAACATATTATATAACAGTCGAATTGGATAATTCAATATTCTATTTACTCACTCTAGCACAAATCTATGTAGCAATATATTAAGCTTCCGGATTTTAGGCTTGGGATTTAATATAAGACTGATAACAAATGATCATCGTTGGCTTCTTTTTTAAATAAGAACAAAAATAAACTATAAACAAAAATATTAGATTCA